CCCTCTGGGAAGTGAGGTGGAGTTTCTATCACCTGGTCCCTCCCTTTGGGGCCGCCCGGCCTTGGGAGGTGGTGGAGATATGTCAGTGTCCCCTGCCGGAGTGTGTCTGGCTAGCCCTGCAGGGTTCATCCTCGTCGTCCTCCTCTTCCCCCGGAATCTCCAGGGACATGGTCTGGCACGCGGTGAAGGACTGCCCCGTAAGCCAGGCTGTGTGGGACGACCTCGCGTCAGCTCTTTGGTGCCCCGCACTGGTGGACCTGCCCTGGGACTCCATCGTCTCAGGGGAGGAACCACGGGGCTTTCAGGGACTCCTGTGCCGTCCAGTAGAGCAGCAGCGGCTGCAGGTCGAGTACGGGCGGCAGCAGTCAGCCAGGCAGGAGCAGCTTCCGTGGTCCATGGTCTGTCTGCTCCTCCTGCTAGTACTGCAGGCTATCGTGGACTTGCGGAGAGGCCGGCGTTGGGAGCAGCAGCAGCACCGCCGACAGCAGCGGCAGACACAGCAGGCGGCCGTGCGGACGGAGGGGTTGAGGATCACGGACATTGTTGGGCGAGTCCTCCTCCGCTTTGACTGCCTCCGCCTAGCTGAGCGGGAGTGGATGCCTCGCTCCAAGTGGCAGGCCCTGTGGCCCTGGCGGGAGCGGGTCACTTGTCCCTGGACAGTTGGGTAAACTGTGGGTCGGGTGGCAAGGGGTTTAACGGAAATGCTTCAAGGTGATTTAGACCAGTTTATTCTTTTTGGGCTATGGGAGTAGCATTCAGCTGAGACTTTGGGTGGAGCAGACTGCTGTGGTGATGGGTTTAATTTTGTTGTCTTTGTTTTGTGTTTGCTCATCTGCGTATGAGTCGTTTATTTTCTTTGTAGCACGGTTTATTTATAATAAAAAATTTCCTAATTAAAAAAAAAAATTCCTAACCCTAACCCTAACCCTAACCTGAGTAGAGGTGGTATGGGTTTTGTAGAAGGGTTTTATTTTCCAATAAAAAAGGTGTGTTAACCTAACCCGAACCCGAACCCCGAACCCTAACCCCGAACCCGAACCTGAACCCTAACCCGAACCCCAAACCCCGAACCCGAACCCGAACACTTTGGGTACCCCCATTATTTGTTTTAGTTTTCGATGTTTATCTGTATTTCGTTCATGTATTTCATGTTTTTGCTGCATTTTTGTTTGTGGGGTTTGGCCTTCGGGCGCCCCACATCTGTAGAATGGTTGAATCTTTAATAAACAAATGTGTTTCACCTAAAAAAAAGTGTTTCACCTAACCCGAACCCAAACCCTAACCCGAACCCTAACCCAAACCCCAAACAAAACAAAACCCACACCCCCACCAAAACTGGCAGGGCATGCCACTGTATATAAACAGAAAGCAAACTCCACTCCATTCTAGCACTGAAGATGTTACCTAGCCAGGTAACGAAATGTTTGCAAGAAAACAAACAAGCTCAGAGAACCCCAAGGACTCCACATAAACCCCTCTTAACCCAACCCAACATTCAACCCAAATGTTCTTTATATACCATCTTCCTCGAAATGCATCAAGATTTACCTGCAGATGCAAGCTCTGCTTTTTCCATTCTTCTTGTCATCTCTTTGCTGGTGAAGCCCCTGTTTGCCGTCAAAGGGTACCATGGCAGATACCAACCCAGTGGCTGGGGGGAAGAAGGGATGTACCCTTGGCCCTGAAATTCTCCACATCTCCTGGTACTGCCATCTACTACCTAGCCAAATCCATCTGGGGGCACTGCAGGCCTGCTCCCTTGTTTCCTGGGTTCTGTGTCCTGGGTGCCAGAGATGTGCCCTGAGGAACCTGTGTGCGTGTGTGTGCCTTCAAGTCACTGTTGACTCCTGGTGACTGCCTGGACAAGCCCCTGCAGTTTTCTTTCAGAAGTGGTTTGCCATTACCTGTTTCCTAGGGCTGAGATTGCCCGCCGCTGCCGCCTCCTCCTCCTCCTCCTCCTCCTCCGTGTACCCTCCCCTGGGATTGGTTTGAGGGCAGTGGTCTCCTTTGCAGCTACCTTCCTCCCTCAACAAAGGTTTTAGTATCCTTTCAGGGAAGGTGGATACTTTTCTTCCCATAGAAAATGTTTGGGAATTGAGACAGCAACCTGAGGGATGGGATGGGCTGCCAGACTCCTATGGTCTCCCTTCAGGGGAATGGTGAGAAGCGTGGTAAGTGGGGACTGGAAACCTTGGTCTGGCTTGGTGCTTGGATAGCTGCAGCACCTGTGGCTTTTTTCTTGCCTTCTTTCTGGGGCATGCCGCTGTGCATGGCTGGCCAGTGGGGAATAAGACCCATGGGGGTTGAGTGTGAAGGTGCTTTGGAACACACGAGTGTGAGCTTAGCATCTGACTGCAAATCCTTCTAGCATCTGCATCTTCTCCCAGATCATGCAGCTGGGGAAATATATGCTTGGTTAAAGGATTTGCAAGAAGGTGCACAGCACCATCACACACTTGGAAACATATTTTTACTCTTGAAATCTGAAGTATTGCACTGTCTTACCAGGGATATTACTACTTAGGAGGCACCAGGAATTTCTTGTTTCCGGTGGGAGGGCTTGGGAACTCCACAGCTTGGGAGTCAGTTTGGGTAATTACATCGTGCTAAAACACCAGTAAGAATAGTTAACTGAGTCACTAGCTGGGCTGTGTGTTGCAAGAACATGGTCAGTGGCAGAAAGAGCCCAAGGGACAAGCCTGGGCACAGGTGACAGACACAGAAACACCATCTCTTGGACTGAGTGCAGTTCAGTTGTTTTGTATCATCCATAGAACTCCTTCTTGGGGCCAACCATGCCCTGCAGGTAAGAAAGAGTGGCCACACCAGAAGTGCTAACACCTCTGTCAGCATCACAAACTGTATATGATGTGAGACCTATGGAGCTCTGGCTTGGAATTCCATTTAGCCTCACCTGAGCGTTATGGCCCAGAGCTTAACCCTTGGATGATGACTCCAAGACCACCTAAAGATAGGCCTTCAGCCTCTTCCTCTTCTTGAGAGCTGCTTGGTCAAGTTCCCAGAAACCACCTCAGGCAAGAAGTTCGCACAAGCAGTGTAAAGGACTTACCTTTGGGAAAGGTCTCCAGTTTGAGATTATATAAACACACTCCAAGTTAGGCACTCCCTAACTTAGTGAGCTTTTAGCAGAGAATAACCTGGCATGGAATCCATGCCGGATTCTGCATCAGGAAAAGGCAGCAGAGCAGACAGAAGCCTGAGAGAGCAAAAAGTTCAAGCCAAAAAGCAGCCCTGAGTCATTCTTCTTGTCTGGCAGAGGAAAGGCAAAGACCAACAGCTTTACTACTGCAAGTTGCTCTACACAGGGCTGCCCTTGAGGACCACCCAGAAGCTTCAACTAGTCCAGAACGCGGTGGCATGGGCAATGATGAATATGTCTTGGTATGCCCATGTAACGCCTCTGCTTTGTAAGCTGCACTGATTGCCAGTTTGTTTCCAAGTATGATTCGAGGTGCTGGTTGTTGCCCTACATGGCATAGGGCTGGTTACTGGAGGCACCACCTGTCTCCCATCGTATCTGTCCAGCCAAATCAAACTGGCAGGATTGGCACTCTCTGGGTTCAACAATGTTAAACAATGCCATCTATCAGGCTCATCTTCTCTGTCGCAGCACCTGCCTCTGGAATAAGGTTCCCTCCGAGATCCAGACACCACACACACACATACACACTAGTATTTCAAAGAGCTTTGAACACTTGGGTCTTTGCCCAGGCCTGTGGCGGGGGGGGGGGGGATGAAGCTCCCTGTTCGATTGTGTAGATTCAGTTTTTTGTTCCTGTCCATTTTTCTTTTTGTTTTTTCACCCTTGCCATCTTTTATTCTTAACCTGTGTCTAGTATTGCATTTTTTCTTGCTTTTAATGATTTTATTTGTGAACTGCCCAGAGTTGTTGGAAGTCAAGCCGCATAATAATTTAAATAAATATTATGGCAGGCTCTGCTCAAAGTCTTGAGGTTTGCACAAATAGAAGAGCCCAAATAAGTGAGAAAGGATGTTGTTAATATGGAAATCAATAAATTAAATATTTTATTCCATAATTTAAGAAAAAAGAATCCATAAAATAAGATACCCAGGATCACAAGGGTGGGGGGTTGGGCTTAATATCAGTATCACCTTCCCTGCAAAAAGCCCTTCTGGGAAATTGTGTGATTGTATGCATGCATGCATAAGGAAATGGCTCAGTGGCAAGAGGAGTGTGTAAGTGCGTGTGTATGAGTGTGTGTGTGAGAGAGAAAGAGAGAAGAGATCTGGCTACTTGCACTTATCCCAGCCACCCAAAGGCAGGGGTCTCTTCTGCCATTCTGCCTGTGAAGATGGTCCTGCAGAGTACATGGAAAAGGGAAACCTGGTGGTGGTCCACACCCCCAGCCTCCCCCTTCCAGAAAGCAATGTAAAAAACAAAAACAAAAAACCTCTAGCCATAAAAACTGGATCATCTCGGGTATAAAAAGGAAATGACAATCAAGGATAATTTTGAAGTCTTGCCATCCCCCACAGCACCACTAGGGTACCATTTTGCTTTTCCAATGACAAAAGAGAAGTCTATGAGTCTTTCTTCCCTTCCCTTCCCTTCCCTTCCCTTCCCTTCCCTTCCCTTCCCTTCCCTTCCC